CCCGCAGGTCCCGGGGCCCCGCCCCCTCCACGCCTAGGTCCCGGGGCCCCGCCCACCTTGCAAAGTCATGGACACGTTGTCGAAGTCCTTGTGGTCCGGCTCATTCCACGTCTCGAAGTTCCACTTGGAAACCTGCTCCAGTCCGTACCTCCCTGCAGAGCGTCCATGCGGTGGCGCGTGGGCCCCTCCCCTGGGGCAGGGCTGCCCAGGGTTGGGGTGTGGGTGTAGGGCTGTCTGACTCCTGCGAGTCTGCCCCCGCCCACCACCCTGACCTCCCTCCCCATCAAGTTCATGACAGATGCCTGGCCAGTATGGCTCAGTGGTTGAGCGTCTGCCTATGAACCAGGAGGTCATAGTTCAATTCCTTGTCAGGGCACGTGCCCCGGTTACAGGCTCCATCCCCAGTGTGGGGCGTGCAGCAGGCAGCTGACCCATGATTCTCTCTCATCACTCATGTTTCTCTCTCTCCTTTCCTCTCTGAATTCAATAAAAAAAAAAATAGAGAGAGTTTTTAAAAGTTCATGGCAGAGATTGGTGAGAAGGCTGCAGAGGTGCGTGAGGACAGCCAGCCCCGGAGCCCCCCCCGTCCCCCCAGGTCCCCGCTTCCTCACCCACCGATATACCTCCTGGCCAGGAGGGAGACCAGTTCCTTCCACTCAAACACCTGCCGTTTGTCTTCAAAGTCGGTGAAGTGTCCAGAGGGGCTGCCCATCAGCTCGAAGCCTGCAACACGGGAGGCCTCTGTCCTGCTGCCCGCCTCCCACATGGCCCCATGCTTCCCGGGCCCGGCCCCACCATGTTGCGCCAAGGCCAGCCCCGGGGGAGCAACCAGCCGGGACCCAGAGGGGCCAGGTCGCGGGAGAGCGCACAGGGGGCAGAGGCCGGCCACACTTACCCGGGAGGAGCTGGTTCTCCCTGAGAAGGTCCAGGTACCCGTCCAGGTGAGTGAAGTTGTAGCTCAGGCCCTGCCCAGCCGACCTGCTGTAAGAGGACACGGAATGTCGGGCAGGAAGAGGCAGCCGGGGCTGGAACCGAGGCCACGTTCACGCGGGTGGAGAGTCCACAGGTGCACACAGGACTCAGCTCCAGACTCAGCTATGGAAGCCTGTCCCTCACAGCCTAGTGAGAACTAGTGCCGGCCCTGGAATCCCCACCCCAAGCCATCCGGGGCTCTGAACAGCCAGGGTCAGGGGTGGGGCAGGCAGACAAGTCTGAGAAAGATGCAACAGGACAGAGGGGGGAGAACCGGCATCCTGCAGACAGCTGGCCGGGACCAGGGGCTGGGGGACAATGGTCGACGGGACCTGCTCTCCTCTGCCCCCCTGGAGGCCAGCGCCCCTGTCCCCTCTCCCACGCTCCAAGGGGCAACCTGGGCAGGCAGGAGTGGGGGAAGGCAGCCTCCCCTCCCTGCACGCATCCCAGACGGAGGCCCACTTCCCTCGGGGCTCCCGTGTGCAGAGGACACGGGCATCGCCAGGCGATGAAACATGCTGGGAGGGGGATGTGCCAGGGAGCCAGGGTCAGGCGGGCGGGCCTTCCAGGCAGCATCCAGGACCCCCACGTGATGGGACACACCAGCCATGAGTGCGCAGGGGCCGCTGGGACCGTGTGCGCAGAGCCCGGAGGCGGACACGCACGCGTGGTGACGGAGTGGCAGAAGGGTGTCTAGCGGACCTGGGGCAGCACCAGGGTGTGGGTGTGAGAGACGAGGTCACACGGGGCCTGGCGGCCACAGTGAGGAAGGACCCCGACTCAGGAGGAAGTGGGGAGCCCTATCGGAGACCCGGGCAGAGCAGTGCCATGACTTCTTGTGTTTGCTTGTCTTTTTTGTTGTTGTTAATCCTCACCTGAGGACATTTTCCCACTGATTTTTAGAGAGAGTGGAAGGGAGAGGGGAAGACAGAAACACCAATATGAGAGACACACCGATGGGTTGCCTCCCGCATGACCGACCAGGGCCGGGATAGAGCCTGCAGCCCAGATGCATGCCTTGGACCGGAATCGAACCCGGGACCCTTCAGTCTGTGGGCTGGTGCTCTTTCCACTGAGCCAAGCCGGCCAGGGCTGGGTTTGCTTGTTGTTAAGACTCTTTTTTTACAGCAGTTCTAGGTTTACAGCACAGTTGAGGGAGGTACAGAAATCTCCCATCCGGCCCCGCACAGCCTCCTGTTATCAGCCTCCCCCCAGAGCGGACATTGGTGACGGCACGGCATCGCCCGAGTCCTCAGTGTGCGTTCGGGCCACGCTTGGTGGTGCGCATCCTGCGGGTTTGGAAAGATGTCTAATGACCCCTCTCTATGTTGGGGTGTCATACAGAGCAGTCTCAGGGCCCTAGAGCCTACCCTGCCCCCGCCCTCCACCCACACCCGTGACAAGCACGTCTTTCCTGTCCTCACAGTCTTGCCTTTGCCGTGTTTTGAAAGGATCCCCCTGGTGCTCATTGGAGCCAGAAGATGGCCCCCAGGGGAAGGTGTGGTGTTCAGACCAGGAGGGCTGAGCAGGTGGGGTGAGAGGGAGGGCTGAGAGGGGGTGAGGGGGAGGGGTGAGAGGG